CCCCCCCCCCCCCAGTCCTGGTTTGATTTCAAACTTTTGGCCGTATTTTATAAGATGGTCTGTAAACCAAGATCCAAGACAGGCCTGTAGTGGATTCTGTCTTCCCCACGTCTTCAGAGAGAAACCGTAGTTTGGGGAGGCCGAGGAGCCCCTGCCAGGCCCACGCTGCTCCGGAATGCTCTCAGGGCTTGGAGCAGCTTGTGTGCGTAGGTGTTAACTCATAGGAACTGGTTTTCTTTTCTCCTTTTCCCCCCATCACCTGGATTCGTTTTCTCTTCAAGTTGAGGCAACTTTTATTAGAATCTCAGTCTCAGCTGGATGCAGCCAAGAGTGAAGCCCAGAAACAAAGCAATGAGCTCGCCCTGGTGAGTGAGCGTGGACGGGAGGGGAACGGTGCCAGGGCGTGTGTGCGTGTGTGCGGTTCATCGGCCAGTCGTGGTTCTCCACCCCGTGCAAGGTCACACGGCACAGTGGAGTGGGGTGTGCCCCGGTGTAACCTCTGGGGCCGGCTTTGATCAGCCGTGCTGAAGGGGCTCCTTGCGCGTTGGCCCAGAACTCGGAGCTGGGCGTGTGGCTGCCAGGGCCAGTGCTCGGGCTCTAGTCACACGTCCCCTGGTGCGGCCTGGCCCCGTAAAGGCACTGGGAGCTCAGGGCAGGGGTTCTGGGAAGTTCAAATCTCCGTGAGCCCTGTGGCTCAGCACTACCTCGCCCTCCGTGGCCCTCGGGTGTTTTCTCACTTCAGCAGTGGCTCAGACCCATTCAGTCAAATGTATGGGTGGGCACTGAGGCAGGGGGATGACTGGGGGTGCCATTTCCTGCTGTGTGGGGCTCCCTGCCGTGCAGGTGACCTCGGGTCCTCTTAGTTGTCTGCTTTGGCAGCTGCCCCGCTCCCTGCTGCCCGGCAAGGTCAGTGAGGCCCCACGGAGTCGGGCCTCCCCCGTCCTGGTCCCAGCTGTGGGACTACAGCCACAAGCCGTGGCCCCGGAGGCCACAGCCTATTCCGTTGGATCTGTGGTCTTTCTTCACACCTTGAATTCACTGTTAACACTTAGAAATTGGTAGATCTTGGATACAAACACACGTGCCTGGTTTTTTGAGAGGAGACGGAAGGTCTGGTCCGTGGTGCTGGCGTTCTCACAGCAGCATCCATGTTGGGGCACGAGCTCCTGACTCCACAGGGGCCCCTCAGGTTATTAGGGCCTCACACTAGAGGGCAGGTGTCATCCATGCCGAATCACCTGACCCCGAAAGCTGCTAACCTAAGCCGGGTCTAGGCGACCAGCCTTAGGGGTGCTGTCCCAGTTGAGGTCCTGTGCAGAGAAGATCCCCAAATTCCTCATCATCAAAGGCCTGCGCATTTTGGGGTCACCTTTGGGGGGCTGGTGTTGGGAAGGAGGGAAGCAGGAAAGGGTACCCGCACACTAGGGGTACCCTTTGGAGCAGGGCCTTTTGGAATGGGGCCCGAGACCATCCATGCCCGCTGGAGAGCTCGCACCGAGTGCCCACGCAGATCCCCCAACTAGAACCTTTACCAGCGCTCCGTGGGCAATGCTGCTTCCGCTTCAGGTTGGAGGCCCAGTGCCTGGGGGGCCACCACGTGTGTCACCTGCTCCCAGCGATGGAGCTCTGGTGTGATGGGACCTTGATAGGCACGTGTCCTCTCGTGATCGTGGGCTGCATCTGGAAGGAATCCGGGACAGGGACATAGGCAGTGTTTGTGCAGAGCCTGTCCACCGCCTCTCCCTCCCGTTTGGATTCCTTAGCTGTGTGTGTGCCGTGTCCATCAGGGGTCACCTTGCTCCCGGGGAGGGCTCCACGGCTGGCCTTGGAGCAAAGCACGTGGATGGGACCAGTGTGGGCCCCTCAGAGTTTGGCTCCGGTGAGGGATCATGGCACTGGCCCCCTGCCCAGTGAACCTGCATGGGGACTCTGACAGAGGTCATAGTTCCCAAACCAGGTCCCCCATAGGGGCTCCAGCCGTGGAGAGCCTGTGCCGTCCTCCTGAGGGGCCTGTGCGTGTGTGCGTGGCACGGTGGGCGTGTGTCTGGCTGTGTATTTGCACAAACCCACCCTCCCTGTTTCAGGTCAGGCAGCAGCTGAGTGAGATGCAGAGCCACGTAGAGGATGGTGACGTAGCTGGGTCCCCGGCTGTCCCCCCTGAGGCCCCCCCAGCAGAGCAGGACCCTGTCGAGGTTAGGGCGGTGAGCCGGTCCCCAGATGTCTGTCACTAACAGCCCGCGTGGGCCCCCTCGAGCCCAGTTGGAGAGCAAAGGCGGCAGGCCTCTGTTCCGGCTAAACACTGGCAACTTGCGGCCTCCAGCGCCTGCTCTCCCCACCCCGCTCTGCCCCGAGAGGGACCACCAGGTTCTGAGGAAGTCCCAGAGCAGAGGAAGGGGCAGGGAAGCAGCCAGACGGAGAGGGGTTGGGCGCTGGATCTTAACAGTTGTGCGCAGGAGTGGGGGGGAAGAGGGAGTCTGGTCTCCCGCCCGGGCCCTCGCAGGCACGTCACAGCAGGGTGCTTGCCCTCCAGACTCTGGACCCAAGTGGCTGTGGTTGCGAGCCCTCAGCGGGAGGTGGGGGCCTGTCACCAGAGTGGCAGTGGTGGGCACAACACTGTGGGGCTGGGACTTGCACGGTGGCTCTGAGGCCTCCTTGTGCCGTGAGTCTCAGGAAAGGTGTCTGAGGTCAGCAGAGGTGGTGGCTCTGGACCCGGGGGCCGAGGCACCGTCTCCCTGCAGCGGGAGTGTGGGAGCGACTGTCAGCCGGCTGGTGGGCAGCCAGGGGCAGGGAAAGGCCGAGGGGGCGCAAGGAGCTAGGAGACGGTGCCTGCCCAGGAGCCCTGGTTCCCAAGGGGGTCCTTCACCGGGTTCCCACAGTCTGTGCGGTGTTTCCACGCAGCTGAAGACGCAGCTGGAGCGGACGGAAGCCCTCCTGGAGGACGAGCAGACACAACGGCAGAAGCTCACGGCCGAGTTTGAGGAGGTCAGGCCCTGCCTCTGTAGCCCTCGGGGTGTCGGGGACAGTGGGGGTGCAGGCCGGGGTCTGCCAGGCGGTCTGGCCTTGTCCCTCCCGGGGGGTGCCACACAGTCCCCTGCCCTGTGCGTGTGGGTCCCGCCTGCTCTCCCTGGCCACAGCCTTAATCCCCTCCTGGTGGGCGTCCCCAGGCGGACTTGTAGGACCTGTGGGGTGTGTATGGC